CACCAAGGTAGTCCCAGTTAATATGGAAGAAGTTAATATTACCCACTACAGCAACCTGTTGTTTTTACATCTTTCCATGATCTGCCTACATATCTGTTGCTCTATCTCCTACTGGCTACTGGGAGGCCTATAGTATGACCCCATCAAAGTGATTGCACTTTTCTTGTTCCTGAGTTTTACCCATGTAGCCTCACTGGGCAATCCCTCCAAGATTTGGGGCGGCACAGTGGTTCAGTGGTTCAGTGGTTAGCACTGCTGCCTCACAGCCCCAGGGACCTGGGTTCAATCCCACCCTCGGGCAACTGTCTGTGTGGAGTTTGCACATTCTTCCCATATCTGTGTGGGTTTCCTCCCACAGTCCAAAGATGCGCAGGCTAGGTGGATTGGCCATGCTAAATTGCCCGTAGTGTTCAGGGATGTGTAGATTATGGGGGATGGGTCTGGGTGGGATGCTCTGAGTGTCGGTGTGGACTTGTTGGGCCAAAGGGCCTGTTTCCACACTGTAGGGATGATGTTGATGATGTCTTCTCATAGTACATTGTGATATTCTCCTTAATCAGTTATGCAACTCTATCTCTATTGCCCTGAAACATTAAACTCTGGAACACTGAAGTCCCAGTCCTGTCCTTCTCTCAACCATGTTTCTGAGATAGCCACAACATTCTAGCTCCATGTACTAATCCAGGCTCTAAGCTCATCTGCCTTACCTATACTACTCCTTACATTAAAATGGAGCCCTGCTGTGTTCATTAACTTGGCCCTGCCATTTCTTTCTTTCAGACTTACTTCACTTAATCTCTACCTTCTCCTCAATCACTCCACATGCTGACTTACTGCTCTGGTTCCACCCACCACACTACTTTAAACTTTCCCCAAGTCGTTTTTTTAATTCACTCACAGGATGTAGGCATCTCTGGCTAGGCCAGCATTCATTAGCCATCTGTAATAATAAGTTAAGAGTCAACACATTGCTGTGGGTCTGGAGTTACATGTAGACCAGACCAAGGATAGTTTTTCTGACAATTGATAATGGCTTCCTGGTCATCATTGGACTCTTAATTCCAGAATCTTTATTGAATTCAAATTCCACCATAGCAGGATTTGAACCTGGGACTCCAGAACATCAGCTGAATTTCTAGCTTAGTAATACAGCCATCAACAGGCCATCACCTCCCCACTAAGTGGCAGTAGCAAACTCCCATGGGCAGCACGGTGGCTCAGTGGTTAGCACTGCTGCCTCACAGCACCAGGGGCCCAGGTTCGATTCCACCCTCAGGCGACAGTCTGTGTGGAGTTTGCATATTCTCCCCGTGGCTGTGTGGGTTTCCCCTGAGTGCTCCGGTTTCCTCCCACAGTCCAAAGATGTACAGGTTAGGTGGCTTGGCCATGCTAAATTGCCCATACTGTTCAGGGATGCATAGACTAGGTGGGTTATAGGATGCTCTGTGGATTGGTGTGGACTTGTTGGGCCAAAGGGCCTGTTTCCACACTGTAGGGATTCTATGTTATTGGTGCCCTCCAGTTTAGGCGCAACCCATCCTTCTTGTACAGGTCCCTCCTGCCCTGGAAGAAATCCCAATGATCCAGATATCTGAAGCCCTCCCTCCTGCACCAGCTCTCTCACCACACATTTAACTGTATTAACTTGCTGATTCTGGCCTAAAGAGCTGAGGATTATCAGATCTGCTGCGGTCTCATTGAAGGGCACAATAGATTCAGTCAGCTGAATGGCCTATTTCTGCTCCCAGGTCTTACAGTTTAATTTGAATCTCACCATCTGCTGTGGTGGGATTTGAACCACTGTCCTGGGAATGTTAGCCTGCTCTCCCAGATTGCTAGCCCAGTGCACATTACCACTCTACCTGTTTGTCTCAATGGTGGGAGCAATTAGTCCATGATGGAACACTTACACAGCATAACTGGCTGAATGAAAGGGAATTGGAGACAGATGGGCAGAAAAGATGGTGATGTGTTTTCTTTGGACAGGGTTAGTCTATCATAAAAGCATAAAGCCACCATAGTATAGGGTGCTTTCTCATTAGGGAGGGAGATGACTGGTGGTGAGGGTCACCACACATCAGACCAGGGGAGAGGTTGAGAAGAGAGTCCTTCATGGTAACTTCAGCTGGTGTAGGAATTGACCCCATGCCGTTAGTGTCACTCTGCTTTGCAAACCAGCCATCCAGCTGCTCCCCAACCCTTCATACACACGATATGAGTGAAGATTCCTGCAGGGATGGGATTTCAGGAACGTGCAGATGAACCTCTGAATGATACTGTGGCCTCTGTGCTCATTAAACCATGTCACCACACCTCAGAAAAAGATCAGGGCTAAGGAGAAGAGCCTGCAAGGTGCTCTCAACTGTACAGGGATTGAACCTGTGCTGTTAGCATTCACTCTGCTCAGAAATCAGCCATCCACCCAACTGAACTAGCCCACCTCCTGACTGCACTGTTTGTTGGACAGAGCCACTGCTAGAATCTTGGATCTAAAAGGCCTGGGAAGGTCTCCTTACTCGTTTTGGACCCCTTACTTCAGAAAGGATGTACTGGCACTGGAGGGGGTGCAGAGGAGGTTCACTAGATTGATTCTGGAGTTGAGAGGATTGGTTTGTGAGGAGTGATTGAGTAAATTGGGACTATGCGCATTGGAATTTGGAAGAATGAGGGGGGAATCTTATGGAAACATATAAAACTATGAAGGGAATAGATGAGATAGAAGCAGGGAGATTGTTTCCTCTGGTGGGTGAAACTAGAACAAGAGGGTATAGCCTCAAAATAGCGGGGAGCAGGTTTAGGGCTGAGTTGAGGAAGGACGTCTTTACCCAAAGGGTTGTGAATCTGTGGAATTCCCTGCCCAGCGAAGCGGTAGAGGCTTCCTTATTGAATGTTTTTAAGGGACAGGTAGATGGATTTTTGAACAGTAAAGGGATTAAGGGTTATGGTGAGAGGGAGAGTTACTGGAGCTGAGGCCACAAAAAGATCAGCCATGATCATATTGAGTGGAGGAGCAGGCTCAATGGGCCAGATGGCCTACTTGTGCTCCTGGTTCTTACGTTCTTATGTTGACTGGGCCTCTATTCACTAATTTTAGAAGGATGAGAAGGGATCTGATTGAAATGTGTACAATTCTAATAGAACTGATCAGACTAGATGCAGGACAGAAGCTTCCCCTGGTTGGGGGAGGCTAGAACAGAGTATTTAGGCCTGAGATGAGGAAAACATTCTTCGCTCAAAAGCATAGTGAAGCTGTGTAAGTCTCTATCGCAGAAGGCTAGGTAGACCAAATCACTGAAGATATTCAAGAAAGAGGTAAATAATTTTTTACATTTTTAAATGGATCAGGGATATGGAGAGAAAGTGGAAATATGGCATTGGGATAAAGGATCGGCCATGATCACATTGAATGTTGGGTAGGCTCAAAGGGCCAAGTGGCCTCCTCATGATCCTATTTTCTATGTTTTAATGTCACCTGTGAGGTCTTCTTGTAGATATTATTAATAAATAACATTTGCAGAAACAACCTGGAGCCCAGGCCTGTGTTTACCCGAGCAGCTGAACCCCTACTAAAACTGTCAGTGAAAGTGAAAATTTGTGTCCAGGAGCATTGAAGGATAAGAATTGCATTTATATAGCACCTTTCACATCATGACGTTCCCAAGAGATTTGACAGGGTGGATCTGGGGACTCAGTAAGCTCATTAGGATAGTTAAAATCTAGTAGTTTTTAGAAATGAGAAGAACTGGGATGAGGAGGAATTTCTTCAGCCAGAGGGTGGTGAATCTGTGAAACTCATTGCCACAGAGAGCCGTGGAGGCCGAGTCATTGAAAGGCAGAGATAGGTAGGCTCTTGATTAGTAAGGGGATCAAAGGTTACAGAGAGAAGGCAGGAGAATGCGGTTGAAAACCATATCAGCCATGATCGAACGGTGGAGTAGACTTGATGGGCTGAATGGCTTAATTCTGCTCTCCTATCCTATGGTCTTTTGGTTTAGCAGAAACATTCCCAGTCCAGGTACAGGGTTGTCTAAGAGGTTCGTGGGACCAGATTCCATAGTAACTAACAAGGTTAAGGTGTAAGACTAGGCTTAAGTGGAACTGATTGAAGAGTTTTTCTGAAAAGAGTTGGCACACACCTGCTGTAGAATTGTCTAACTCAATAAAAAATACAGTGGAGTTAGCTTGTAAACTTAAAGTCCATGGGATTGGGTGTAGTGTACTGATAGGGATAGAGAACTGGTTGGCAGACAAGAAACAAAGAGTAGGGATAAATGGGTCTTTCTCTAAGTGGCAGACAGCAACGGGTGGAGTACTGCAGGGATCAGAGCTTAGACCTCAGCTATTCACATTATATGTACATTTCTAAAGGTATGGGGTAGGCCATTTACAACTGAGATGAGGAAAAGTGCCTTCACCCAGACAGTGGTGAGCCTGTGGAATTCAGAAAGCAGTTGAGGACAAAACATTGAATGTTTTCAAGAAGGAGTTGGATATAGTTCTTACAGCTAAAGGGATCAAAGGGTATGGGGAGAAAGCAGGCATTATTTTCTGTTTCTTTTCCCTGCAGTTTGTGACCAACATTTCCCTCTTAATCAACAGTAAACTGATTGCTGTTTATGGGAGCTTGCTGTGTACGTGTTGTCATTCCCTACACTGCAGTATTGATAACCCTTCAAAAGCATTTCATCAATTGAGGCACTTCATAAAAGACCATCACAACATCCATGGGGATGTGAAAGGGGTTACATAAATGCAAGTATTTCTACTTCTTTCTTGCTTCTTGTGCCTCTGCAAACGAGGAGTGGACACGTTTGTTCCATGAGCTATGGCTTTTGATTTTGATTTGAGATCAAGTTCAGCTAGCAATAGATAGGGATCTCCCCCAGGCTCTCCCCGACAGGCTCTTCCACCCTCCCACTCCTCCCAAGCTCCCCTAAAGCCCACTCCCGAACCGGAAATGTTTTCCTGATGCCCTATTAACATGCTTTATCTCACAATAGCTTACGACAATGACAATCCCGAACATCACAAGCTGCTGTTGTGCCTACTAATGACTGCCTGCGACCTCAATGATCAAACCAAAGGCTGGAAGACCACAACAAAGATAGCGGTAAGAGGCAGGAGGGTGGTGGGGGTGTGGGGGGGGTGCTGTGGTATGGGAGCTGGGAGGTGGGGAAAACGCAATGGCTCAGGAACATTGACAAGGCAGGCAGCATTTCTGTAGCTCCTCTAAGAAGGTCAGTGAGAAAAGCCTCATGGTGTTACTGCAATAGCAAAGGACAACTGGGCCACGTTTGAAGCCATCTGCGTTGGTGATTGGAAACTCGGCCAAGAAGCAACTTCTGTAGGGCACAGCGAGGTAGAGGAACTGAGGTGGGAGGGGGGAGAATTGCGGAGCTTTTTACATTCTTTCAGTGGGAAGGCTAGCATTCATTGCCTATCTCTTAACGGCCTTTGAATGGGGTGTGTCTCACTTGGCCATTTTAGACAACAGTGAAGAGTGTAGGTTTGGAGTCACGTGTAGGTTCGGAGTCATGCCTAGGTTCAGAACGGGTAAGGATGGTAGTTACCTTCCCTAAAAGACATTAGTGAACCAGATGGGTTATAGTCACAGGAGGAACCAGGGGGTCACAGTCTAAGGATATGGCGTAGGTCATTGAGGATTAAGCTGAGGAGAAATATCTTCACCCAGAGATTGGGGAGCCTGTGGAATTCTCTGCCACAGAAAGCTGTTGAGGCCAAAACATTGAATGTTTTCAAGAAGGAGTTGGATATAGTTCTCATGGCTGAAGGGAATGGGGAGAAAGCAGAGGACAGGGCTCTGAATTGAACAATCTGCCATGAGCATACTGAATGTTGGAGCAGGGCTCAAAAGGCTGAATGGCCTACTCCTGTTCCTATTTTGTAGGTGCAGCTACACCAACCAATGATCATTTTATGGTTCCCATCACTGAAACTAACTTTATATTCCAGATTAATTGATTGAATTTAATTTCCACCGGCTGTCCTGATGGGATTTGAACCCATGCCCCTAGAGTAAAAGCCAGGGCCTGTTGGATTACAAACACAGTAATATCACCTTCACTCCTTAGGAGCCAGGCAGCTGATCTCATGGCTTGGTCTAGGATGCTGAAGGGTCAGAGAAATGCAGGAGGTCACGGATGGCGGCACCTGAGAGCTACATTGAGATTTGGCTGTTTCACGAACTGGGAACTTACCAAGCATGGTGAGGGAGGGGAGAATCAGAATGGGTGTCAGCTCACACTCGTGCATTGGCAGACAGCTCCAACTGAATTACAAACCACCCAAAGGCAACAAAAATAGCCCAAAAACTTCACAGGGCTATAATTGGGTCAAGGTCAACACTGAGCTCTAAAAGGAGATTTTAGGAGTAGTGACCAGAAATCTGGTCAGAGTTCGAGGTTTGTAGAAACCCTCAAAGGAACAAGGGGAGATATAGGGAAATGAAGGGGGAAAGAAGACCAGAGATTACAGCCAAGTCTGGCTGGAGAGATGGTGGTAAGCAGCTCAGGTCTGCAGTGCGATGCCTGAGAGTGTGGTGGAGCCAGCTTTAATCAAGGCCTTCAGAAGGGGGTTGAATAATAGGGGAGAGGTGGTGGTGTGGTGGTACTGTCATTGAACTGAAGGACCAGACTATTCCATAAAATAATGACAATCAGGTGCATGAAGGTACAAACCCTGGTAGTGGAGCAATTGAAAACAAGGACACACAGTGGGCCAGAACTGTGGAGATCTCAGAGGGTAGTGGAGGCAGGAGGAGATTACAGAGGTAGAGAAAGGGGTTGGTTAAAAAAAATTCGAGGGAATGATGGAAATGAGGCAATGAAGGATGACAAACACTTCTGTCAATTGGTTCCAACTTCCCTTACATCTCCCATTACAAGGCTCCCAGCCTCTTCCTGATAACCTCCCCACACCTGCTCCCTGATGAATCCTCGTGTGTGTTTAGGTTTTAGATGGGTCTCAGGTCCCTGATTGGTGGAGATGTTTTCCCCCCAACCCTGGATGAATGGGTTATTATCCAACCCCCTAAAGGGAGAGTAATCTCTATAAAGCCAGGCACTCTGAGTAGATGGTGAGGTGGAACTAACCACATTTGACCTTTGCTCCTCAAGTGTATCCATTTGTCAACAAATTGTTTAAGAGTAAATAATGGTGGAAATATTCGGGGGAAAACAGAGTTCCCTTTTTGGGAACAAAACAGAAATTGTTGGAGAAACTCAGTAGGTCTGGCAACATCTGTAGATAGAAAGCACAGTTAACATTTTGGGTCCAGTGACCCTTCCTCAGAATGGTTACGTTTTTGGGTTTGTGACCTTTATCAGAAATACAAAGTGTTAGGAGAAGTAAAAGATCTTAAGTAAATTCAAGACAAGGAAAGTGGTTAATCGATAATAAAGATGGTACTGTTGTTGTAGTCTGTGGTTCGATTGCTTTGCGATCAATTATGAGAGCCTGACAATTGATCCATATGCACAATGCTCAATTGATCAAGCCTAGGCATTGACTTCAGTCACCTTCTTGACTTGGCTTAGTGTCTGAGAATGAGGGAACAGGCCTGAGGGCCTGAATGGTCTACTCCTGCACACAAGTCATATGTTCCTGCTTGTAAAAGGAACAAGATGATTTAAGGAGATGTGCAAAAGAAGCAAGGGTGATGTGAGAAAAAGCTTTATAGTTAGGATCTGCAATGCACTGCCTGGAAATGGGGGTGGGGGCAGGTTCTACTGAGGCATTCAAGAGGGACATTGAATGGTTATTTGGATAGAAATGGGGAGGAGGGATGTGGGGGAAAGGAAAGAGATTGGCTCTTGGGAATAATGTTCATTTGAAAAGCTGGTGCAAGCTCAGTAGGCTGAATGGCCTCCTTATGTGTCCTAACAATTCTATTATGTTGCACATTCTGTGTTTCTATGTCTTACTGGTCATCCCATACCACTGTCAATATGATAGTTATTCGCTCTCTGTCTACTGCAGAGAAGCCTTTACTCAGATAATCCTAATTCTTGCAGCATCTGTGAAGGAAGAAACAGAGTTAACATTTCGAATGCAGTGATGCGAAACGTTAACTCTGTTTATTCCTTCACAGATGCTGCCAGACCTGCAGATCTTTTCCAGCAACTTTGGTTTTGTTCCTGATTTACAGCATCCGCAGTTCTTTTGGTTTTTAATCCTAATTCTTGCTTCTTTCCACCAGGAACTGATTTATAAAGAATTCTTTTCACAAGGAGATCTGGTAAGTCAACACTTGAAAGTGTTAGCTGTTCCATTGGGATGCAGCATGTTGATTGTACATTTCTAAGATGTCCTGGAGAAATGGAAAAGATCTAGACTTTCAGTCTTGAGAGTGGTTGACTGTCTATGGGCTCAAGAGAGTTTTATAAAACAGTAAATGTTAAGTCAGGAATGTTCATTACAAACCAACAATGCATTTAATAGAACCTTTAATCCACTACAATGGCCATGACTATTCTGAAAGCTTTATCAAGACTTGACATAAATCCGTATTAGGAGACATTAGGTCCAATTGCTAAAAGCTTGGCCAAGGTGTTAAGAAGGAAGAAGAGAGGCAAAATAGAATCCCTACAGTGTGGGAGCAGGCCATTCAACCCATCAAGTCCACACTGACCCTCCAGAGAGCATCTCCCCAGATCCACTCCCTATCCTTGTAACCTAGCATTTCCCATTGCTAACCCACCTAGCCTGCAAATCTCTCAACACTATGGGGCAATTTAGCATGGCCAGACAACCTAACCTGCACATCTTTGGACTGTGGGAGAAAACTGGAGTACCTGGAAGAAGCCCACACAGACACAGGGAGAATGTGCAAACTCCACACAGACAAGTTGTCCAAAGGGTGGAATTGAACCTGTGTCCCTGGTGCTGTGAGGGAGAGGTTCAGGGAGGATAATCAAGTACTTAGATCCTAAAACAATTAAAGGGTCATCAATGATTTTGTTTTATTCAAGACGCCAACTCAGTACAACCTTCTGGAACAGTGACATATCCAGAATGTGTTAGAGCATGCACCAGTGAAGTGTTGATATTGTCCTGTATTGTTTTACAAGAAGGAGTACAGGCATTGAAGACCATAGGCTTATTTTTGGTTCAAGATAATCAAGGATTAATCTTTGTTTAGAAAATCCAGAAATGGAAAGCTTTGAGAGCTGTTCGGAGGGTACGTAACTGCTGTCAGAATTAAATATAGTTTCACTCCCAAAAACAGAGTATATAAAAGGAGTATAACTCAGGGAATGCACAGTTACCTCAGCATAAGAGTTCAATTTAGATAACTTTCACACCTGGAGCGCTTGGTTACAGATCTTCAGACTATTAAAAAGCTGAGAAAGTCTAAGTTCTTTGTTTTATGAGCATTTGTATAAGAAGACTTCACAGTTCATAGGAGAAACCTGGTGATTTCTAGCTTCATCAAATTTAACGATGTGGTACAAAGGACTAACTTCTCTGCATTAGAATCACTGTGACGTGGTATCGGGGAATAGGTTGAAGCTTTCACTGTGTGTTTTCAGACCTTTTTCTAACTTTGTTCTATAATCTAGATAACGTGGTTTTTTTCTTGTTGTTTTCTTTTCGCCCTTTGTGTAATAAACTTCGGTTTTGTTGCTGAAGAAACGCTGCCGCCTTGTGTGGCCATGTTCTAGCGACTGACCATCCTGTTTACCAAAATTTAAAAAAAGCAAAAATGATCAATCAAGCCAGATTTCTTCTTGGGGTCTGATTTTTCCTGGAGGGTCATCAGATGGGATCTGTAGCAGTATAAACACAGTTTGTAGTGCAGATGCAGTTAGCAGTTCACATCAGGGTCAGATGGGTTGGTGAGGTTCCAAACACTTAGCCTTTTGACAGCTTCCAGGCCAGGAGATGATGACAGTTTCTACAATGGCTGCCTCATACATGGCCTTTTGATCTTTCTTCTTTGTTTCCCCGTCTCTTACAGGAAAAGGCAATGGGGAACAATCCACTTGAGATGATGGACAGAGAAAAGGCTTATGTTCCCGAACTCCAGATCAGCTTCATGGAACATATTGCAATGCCAACTTATAAGTAAGTTGAAAGGTCAGGAGATTTCGCCAAACACTGGCCGATTGGAGGCAGCAACAATGGGCAGCTATTGGTGACTTGGCTAGTGGGGGGTCTGTTTTTGCCAAAGAGGAGTCGGAAGGGTATGTTACAGGCACTGCTGTGTCATATGCAGGGCAGCACTTCCACCTACAAGTACCCCTCCAAACAACTTACCAAACTGACTTGGAAATATGTCACCGTTCCATCAGTGTCACTGGGTCAAAACCCTGCAATTCCTTCCTTAAGGGTTTTGTGACAGTGCGGCGCTCCCTCAGCGCTGACCCTCCGACAGTGCGGCGCTTGCTCAGCGCTGACCCTCCGACAGTGCGGCACTCCCTCAGTACTGACCCTCCGACAGTGCGGTGCTCCCTCAGCACTGGCCCTCCCACAGTGCGGCACTCCTTCAGTACTGACCTTCCGACAGTGCGGCGCTCCCTCAGCACTGACCCTCCGACAGTGCGGCGCTCCCTCAGCACTGGCCCTCTGACAGTGCAGCGCTCCCTCAGCACTGGCCCTCTGACAGTGCGGCGCTCCCTCAGCACTGGCCCTCTGACAGTGCGGCGCTCCCTCAGCACTGGCCCTCTGACAGTGCGGCGCTCCCTCAGCACTGGCCCTGCGACAGTGCGGCGCTCCCTCAGCACTGGCCCTGCGACAGTGCAGTGCATTCCAGATTCCCACCACCCTCTGTGTGGAAATAAATCCTCATCTATCTAAACCTCCTGCCTTCCACTTAAAGTTGTGTCCCCTTGTTATTGACCCTTCATCCTAGGGGAATGGCAGCTCCCTACCCACCCTGTCCATACCCCTCATCATCTTATACCCCTCTATCAGGTCCCCCCCTCCGCCTTCTCTGCTCCAAGGAAAACAACCCGAGCTTATCCAGCTTCTCTTCATCGCTGAAATGCTCCATCCCAGGCAGCCTCCTGGTGAATCTCCTCTGCGCCGCCTCCAGTGCAATCCCATTTCTGAAGAAGGGTCCCGACTCAAAATGTCAGCTTTCCTGCTCCTCTGATGCTGCCTGACCTGCTGTGTTCATCCAGCTCCACACTGTGTTATGTTTGACTCCAGCATCAGCAATTCTTACTATCCCTTCCCATTGTGCAGTGACCAGAGCTGCACACAATACTCCATCTGTGACATAACCAAAGTCCTGTGTAGCTCCAACATCACCTCCCTGTTCTTATAATCTAGGCCTTGACTGATTAGTATTTTGCTTCAGTGCCATACACTTGGATCTTCAGAATATATTGAGTTGACGGAGTACACTTGTGAGAAATTTTTGACATAATTTATGACAGTTTGCGGCTGGTATGAGCAATGACATCCTTGCATAGCTATGAGTGGATTTGTATTTTGAAAATGAGAGTGAAAAGTTTCAAGATATTTTCCTAATCAACTTGTTCAGAGATGTTCTTACAACCTCCGCAGTAGGGGCTATGAACCCAGGTCACTTGGTTCAGAGGTCAGGACATTACCATTGCACTTAAACAGCCCCAACGCCACAGCTGATAAAGACAAGGGTCCTGTATGCCTTCTTACGTCCCCTATTAACCTGTCTTGTCACCTTCAGGGGTCTGTGGAAAAGCACCCCAAGATCCCTCTGTTCCTCTGAGCTTCCTCGTGCCCTGCCAATCGTTGAGTTCTCCCTTGTCTTATTCCTTCTTCCAAAGTGCATCACCTCACATTTACCATAAATGCCATCTGCCACTCATGTGACCAATTTGTTTATATCCTCCTGTAACGTAACACTCTTTATGTATGTGCTAAAGTTTAGTGGGGTGAGAGGAGATCTCATTGAGATATATAAGATGTTAAAGGTAGACTTTGAAAGGATGTTTTGAGAGTGAGAGTTCATAGTTTTAGGCTAAGGGGTGGCAGATTTAAAACAGAGGTGAGGAGAAATTACTTCTCTCAAAGGGTCATGAATCTGTCGAATTCACTTCCCAGAGTGAGGTCAATGCTGAGGCACGAAGTAGATTTAAAGAGGAGACAGATTTTTAATTAGTAATGGGTTAAAGAGTTAAGGGGAGTGGGCAGGAAGGTGGTGTGGAGGCAGCGATGAGATCAGCCATGGTATTGTATCGAATGGTAGAGCAGGCTTGAGGGGCTGAATGGCCTGCTCCTGGTTTTTAATGGTCTTCCCATCTCTCTTTCTCTCGGCAGGCTCCTGAATGACATCATGCCAAAGGCAGAGATTCTGTACCAGAGCGTGAAGGCGAACCGGGACCAGTGGGTAAAAGTTGCTCCAAGGTTCACCACAACGGGTCTCCCGAGTGACAACTCACTGGACTTTTTAGATGAAGATGCGACAGATGTAATATCCTCACCAACCCCTTCTCCAGTGACTCAGAGCAGCATACCTAACAGCACGCAATCCACATCTGAACAATGATTATTTTTATTGCAGTTTAAAAGAACAGAAACAAAATACAACAAAAAAAAATCAAGGAAGCGACTGACAACAGCAGAAATTGGCATCTTTTAAATTTATTTATTTTTTATAGGTCTGAATATTAACTGAGCGGTTACTCCCCAGCATCTCTTTCTCACTCATGTTTTTTTTTCTCCCGACGTTTGCACTTGACAGAAACAAACAGTTGCATTGATATAGCACCTTTAAGGTAGTCTAAGTACCATCACACGAAATTGTTTCACTGGAGTGTTATCAGACAGGTGTTGACACTGGCATGCACAAAAGACCAAAAGGTAGTTTTTTTGAGGCACATTTTGAAAGGAGATGCAGGGAGGCCAAGGGGTTGAGGGAAGGAATTCCAGAATTCCGGGTGGGGTGGGAGTGGCAACTGAAGGCCTGGCTGCCAATGGTGGAATCAATGGGAGTTGGGCACATGGAAGAGGCCAAAATTACAGGAGTCTGAGCGGAGGGGAGGGAGGGAGGGGTCACCGTAGACACTGGAGGATGTTGTGGAGAATGGGGCCCGCGAGGGAGGTGAGACCATGGGCAGATCTGAAAACACAGACCAGGATCCAGCCTCAGTCATCAAGCTAATGGCAATGGGTGAACAGGACTCCAGTGCCAGTTCAGCAAAGAGGTGGCAGGTCAATTGGACAGAGAGCAGAAGCTGGGAAGCAGGCCAGGAAAACATTCGGAACATTTCCGACCAAGAGGTACCCCAATCACTAGTACCTTACTCACCGCACCACCCCCACCACTCAACCAGCAATCTCCCTCCTCCTCCGCCACACCCTGAGGTCTTAGCTCAGAATCCAGTGTGGGAGTGGGGTCACAGTTAGTCTGGAGAGTGGTGTGGGCAGCAGTTTCTGTTGTGCTTCTGGTCTGGGCAGTACCCCACAAATGGGCAGCATGGGGGGAGGAGTTGTGTTTGAACTCTTTGGTTCTTTGTCCCTCCCAAGAATCCACAGTTGGATACTCCATTAAACATTGGTATTCCATTCCAAGCAAGGAGAGTGAGAACAGTGATGGTCAGTGCCATACCCGCAACTGTACACATTAAAAACTCATTACTCAATCGGCACCAGCATCCAAAGATGAAACTTATAGCAGCAACGGAGGCCAATCAACCCATCGCACTTGTGCTGGTCACAGAGGTGAGATCCAAGTGAATTCCAGTTCCCTTTTTTCCATGCTCTGTTACCCCTCACACACATTTTTAAATCCTCCATCACACTGTCAGTGAGTTCCAGACCCACACAGTTTCTGTGTAACACATCCCTAGCTAATCCTTACACCAGCTACTTTACATAGCATAGATCTATCAACCTCCCTGCTAAAGGGAATCCGTCTCTCCTATTCACTCAATCTTGTCCCCTCATAATTTTATACATTCAAACCAAATCTCCATTCAGCTTCCCCTCTGTTCCAGAGAAACCATCCCATGCCGATGTAGTCTTTCCTCATCATCAGAACTCTCCAAACTCCAGGCAACACGCTGGTAAATTTCCTCACGTGCAATCTCATTCTTCCTGTAATGTGGTGGTCAGAACTGTATGTAGTGCTCTAGCTGTGGTCTGACTAATGTATTTTTTTACCAATGATGTCCCTGCTCTGTTACACTAGGCCTCAGCCAATCCCACACAGCTCCTTAATGACCTGACCTACTTGGCCCAGGGATCTGTTGTCATGTGTTCCTAATTTCCTTTCCAATTTTGTATTATCTCACACAAGCCTTCCTTTTTTCTAATCCTTCTCTGTAAATTCCTCGATATACCCAGGATTCTAGATTTGGGAGTCCCACCCTTTCTCCTTGCGAGCACATATCGGTCCCAAACTCTGAAAATTACCATCTTGAGTAGTTTGCTTTGTCTGACGTTGATTTACCTTCAAATAGCTGTTCTGAGTCCCTGTTTGCTAAATGATGCTGGCATTTAGATCAAATTGGCCTTTCCCACTTGAGATCTTTTACTCGTGATCTCTCTTTGTCCTTTCTGTGAGCACTTGGAACCTGACTGAATTGAGATCACTATTACCAAAACACTTTTCCATTCATATCTCTTCCACCTGCATGGATTTGTTCCCTAAAACAAAGTCCATCTCTTGTTTGCCTTGTGGCATATTTGAAAGTAAAACTGTTCCTGAGTGAATGTGAAGATTTATACATCAATTATACAACGATTGATCTCAGTTCATAATATAGTGGTTGAGTTCGCCAGCTATTTACTGCCGTTTAGTGTTACTCTGTTCAACCAATATAACTTCCTATGAAGCTCAGGCCATCATTTCTGAAGAAGGGTCTAGGCCCGAAACGTCAGCTTTCCTGCTCCTCTGATGCTGCTTGGCCTGCTGTCTTCATCCAGCTCTACACCTTGTTGTCTCATCACTCCACATGGGTGGAATTATTTGTTGGATTATTTTAATATCCCCCCCTGCCCCCCCCCCCCCCCCCCTCCCCGTACCAAGTTTTATCTCGCTCTCCATTGCTTCTATCCCAGTGGGCTCATAGAGTGAGGGTCTCATATAGTTGTAAAATAGAGCCTGCAACTTGCCTTCACACTGTACAGACAGCCTTGATCAAACACACTGCTGACAAATCAAAACACGCAGAGAAAGAACAGCACTCTGAGTGTGGGGAAACCAAAAAACTGCCTGAGGTAGCATTAATGAAAAGGGAGCTTTCCTCTGTATCTAACCCCGTGCTGTCCCTGCCCTGGGAGTGTTTGATGGGAGACAGTGTAGCGGGAGCTTTACTCTGTGTCTAACCCTGTGCTGTCCCTGTCCTGGGAGTGTTTGATGGGGACAGTGTAGAGGAAGCTTTACTCTGTATCTAACCCTGTGCTGTCCCTGTCGTGGGAGTGTTTGATGGGGACAGTGTAAAGTAAGCTTTACGCTCTATCTAACAGCTTGCTGTACTGTCCTGGGACTATATTTTTGGTACTATATACTCAAGGAGACTATATTTTTGGTTTCAAAAGAGTAGAGGGATCTTTATTTATATCCACCCCTGTGCTGTCTCTGTCCTGGGAGTGTTTGATGGGGGAGGCAGTGTAGAGGAAGCTTTACTCTGTATCTAACCCTATGCTGACCCTGTCCTGGGAGTGTTTGATGGGGGAGGCAGTGTACAGGGAGCTTTACTCTGTATCTAACCCCATGCTGTCCCTGTCCTGGGACTGTTTGATGGGGATATATACAGCATATGGAGCAATCTCACTTTTAAAAGAGTTCTGTTAAACGAAAGGTGGATTCTATGGAGTGATGTGGCGATCCTCTGGTGAACGAGTTTGGATGTTGACTGGAATGATTCATTGTGCTCATGATGGAGGCATGGTTAAACTCCAGCCATGTTGTGATAAACTCATCCCAGATTTGACGTTTGTAAATTTCTGTTCCAGTGACATTAGCAGTGAGAAGAGGCTAAAACAAACAACCTGTTCTCAGAATTCCACAACAGATACAGCCTGACCAACCTGCCTTCTTGATTTATTCACCATCTTATTCCCGTATCCTGCATTTCCCACTGATACTTCATTCTCCCCTTACCTGTCATGGCCAGGATAACGAGCAAAAGAATGAGGGTCTTAAGCACATGGTATGTGGGTGACTTCGATAAGTCAATCAGTAGGAAATACTTCCTAACTGATTAGTGAGGGCAATTTGCTGCATGTTATTCGTTGAAAACCTGTCTACATATCACCCATTCTGAACTACTTGAGTACTCCTGAGGTGTCTGGTTATTGTAAATAGAGAAAAACGAACATTTATGTTTCTGAATAAATTCTGTTTTTGTGTTCTGTACGTCCTTAGTTTCATTTCCATGACTGAGAACAGTGGAATTGGCTTTTTGCAAAAGTAGATCACAACCCCCATTGTCAACTCTGATTGGAGGGATCCATAGAATCCCTGTTTCGCATCCCACTTCTGACTGACACCACCCCCCTCCCCTAACTCTTCCCATTGGTCAATCATTCTCACGGTGTCCTCCAACACCCAATCAGATCAATGATTCTTCCTTGACCCAATTGGATGAGTTGACAGTTCTGTCAGCCATTTTGCCTCATTTGCCAGTACTTTTCAATCAGAAAGAAGTGGACATATGAATGAAAAAAAGACAGGGGAGGAATGCAAATTCTATTCAACCTTTAGTGAGCTTTGTTATGGGATATTGCCTAACACTGAGATAGTGATGGATCCATTCTTAGATTTTAAAGGCATCAAGGGTTATGGGGAGACACTGGGTGTATGGTATTGAGAGTGGGTCAGCCATGATCCTATTAAAAGGTGGAACAGATTCGAAGGCCTGAATGGCCTACTCTTGCTCCTAGTTTCTATGTCATGGAACAGTGGACTGTACGAACCAGAATTGGCTGACAAGTATACTAGAATTCTTTGAGGAGGTAACCAGCAGTGTTGATAAAGGGCAAGTCATTGATACAATATATTTGGATTTTCAGAAGGCGTTTGGTAAGGTGTCACACATTAGGCTACTCAATAAGATAATAGCCCATGGTGTTGGAGGTAGTACATCAGCATGGATAGAGGATTGGTTAACTAATAGAAGACAGAGAGTTGGGTTAAGGTGGGCATTTTCAGGATGGCAACCTGTAACTAGTGGAGTGCCATAGGGGTCAGTGCTGGGGCCACAATTCTTTACAATATATTAATGACTTGAATGAGGGAAGTGAATGTACACCAGCCAAGCTTGCAGATGATACAAAAATAGGCAGGAAAGCATGGGTGACACAAGGACTTTGCATAGGGATATAGACAGGTGAGCAAATGGGCAAAGAACTTTACAGAAACAACCTTTCAGCACTTACTCAGTCGGGAATGTTGCATATTTCCCAACCTACAGAGCGTTTCCTCATAAGACATTCCCTCCATATGTAGTAGCAGCTGAGTGAATCCTCTCTGGACTACCTCCAAAGGCATTATATCTCTCCTCAGATAGGGGGCACTAAACTGTTCACAGTATTCCAGCTGAGGTCTGATGAGTGTCATGTATATGTTTAGAAAAACCTCCTACTTTTACATTCCATTTCCATTGAAATAAAGGCCATTATTCCATTTGCCTTCCCTATTACATACTGAACTTGGATGCTGTCATTCACCAGATAATGACTGCCAAACCCCTCTGTCCTATAGCTTTCTGTGTTCTTCCTCCAAGTAAATAATACTCAGCTACTCTATTCATCTTGCCATAGAGCATGACCTCACAGGGTTATGGGGTAAAGGCAGGAAGGTGGAGCTGAGGATTATCAGATCAGCCATGATCTCACTGAATGGTGGAGCAGACTCAATGGGCTGAATGGCCTACTTCTGCTCCTGTGTTTTATGGTCTTAAGATCTTATGGTCAGTAATTGAAGGGGCTGCACATGAATTTGAGCTGGGGGGTCTTGTGTACAGATACAGCTCTGGGTGGCAGTGAGAAGTTAATTGGTCAGTGGAGTAGTGACCTGTTATTG